GGCTCAGGAGTTAGGCTGGTGTGACTCCCAGTTTTGCTGCTTCCCAGCAGTGAGGCCTTAGCAAATGACCTCTCAGTTTCTTCCCCTATCTTAAAAATGGGTATGATAGTAATTTCTAAGTTGCAGCATTACAGTGAGGATTAAACAAGGTTATGCATATAAAGCTCAGCACAGTGCCTGGCATGTTAAAGTGCTCAACAAACGCTGGTTCACCCTGCACAGAAGACATATGTTGTACTCCACTTTCAAGCCTCTCGGTCTTCTTCCAGCCACTGTTGTGTTGACCCAGGTCCATGCAGGCTTTGATCCGACAGCATCTTGCTTCTCTTGCTTCCTGCCCTGGAGTTTCTGTGATGTCAGGGTGTGTAGGGGAACCTGCCGGGCACTCACGCACATTCCATCCAGAAGTGCAGGGGAGACAGCTGTGGACGGGAGCCAAGGGATAACTGTTTTTCCCTTTCTTCCCCCAAGTGAACAGTTCTGAGACATATTTTACAAGGCTTCTCAGGCGGTCCTGTGGGATAGAGCAATCTGTCACCCAGTCAGAGGGTGGTCAACTCAGTATGCACCCTTACACTAACTTTTTCTCCATCCCTGTTAAATCCCTCCTGTCCTTTGCTCCTGCTCCTTGGGATCATTTACTCTAACAAACTACCTATACTTAAGCTTTTTCCCCCTCAAACTCTGTTTTCAGGGGAGCCCCGGCTAATATAATCTACTATAAGATGATTCTACTTCCTTGGAAAAGCTGCTTTAGGAAAAAAAAAAATGGGAACAGAAACAAAAGGAGCTAGAAATATGAATGTCCTACTAGAGATGCAAGAAGGGGATCACTCCCTCGAGTAGGGTAGACTGTGGGCTGTATAGCCCAAGTGTCAGGTGTACTTGTCCACTGTGTAGGTCATGCTGTAATGGGGAGACGAGGTGCCATGCTAGAGGGACCTGGGAGAGCTTTGTGGTCTAGGAGGTGCCATGTTCTAGTCTTGAGGCTGCCACTTGCTGACTGTGTGATCCTGGGTCCATGTCTACCTCTGAGCCTCGGTTTCCGTACTTGTAAAATGGGAATAATAAGTGCCTACTTCAAAAGGTTAGTCATACAGTGTCGGTCGAATAGGTAGTCCAGTGTCCATGTGAATGCTTAGTCACGTGGCATGTGTTCAATAAATGGGAAATCTGGTATAACAGCGCTCTGTAATTAGTTTTGGATTGTCTGGAATCAAATTTCTCCTACTGCTTCATATGTGCATACTTAGCTTCCACAATAAAATGATAAGCCTTTCAAAGGCAGTGATAGAAGGAAAAATTGGTCATCAATATTTACCCCTTTCCTAGAAAGGACTCCAGCTTTCCTGCCCATACTAGCAGAGACCTCAGCCCCTAGGACTTGCTTGCCTTCCACTGCAGGTTGGTTCATGGGAAGCTGGCTCTGAGCCACGTATGTATGCAGGGATTTACCGGGGAGTACTAGCAAGTCAACATGGGAGGGTTGCAGGTTGAGGTAGAAGTGGGCTGTGATGCAGTCACAAGGCCTCAGGGGACCCCAGGGAGCTCTGAAGCTGGGATGGCCCTTCAGGGTTGTCTCCAGCCCCTCAAATCCCTGTTCTGACCAGTCATTAGCTGTGGCTGCCCTGGGAAGGAGGCATGTCCCTCATCAGACAGCTGTCTTCACCAGAGCAGTTCTCTCAAAGGGCAAATGGCTGAGTATAGCCAGCAACTGGGATGAGAAGTCCTGAAGTGAGGGACCTTCAGCTTAATGGTGGCTTTCGAGTGTGGCAGTCATTCCTAGTTCTCTACCCAATATCCACTTCCCCTTTCTTAGTAAAAGCCTGATTTTGGGCCAGCATGGTGGCTCACGCCTATAATACTAGCACTCTGGGAGGCTGAGGTGGGTGGATCGCTCAAGGTCAGGAGTTCAAGACCAGCCTGAGCAAGAACGAGACCCCATTTCTACTAAAAATAGAAAGAACTTATCTGGACAACTAAAAAAATACATACAGAAAAAATTAGCTGGGTATGGTGGCACATGCCTGTAGTCTCAGCTACTGGGGAGGGTGAGGCAGTAGGATTGCCTGAACCCAGGAGTTTGAGGTTACTGTGAGCTAGGCTGACGTCACGGCACTCGAGCCTGGGCAATAGAGCCAGACTCTGTCTCAAAAAAAAAAAAAAAAAAAAGAAGCCTGATTTTGTTTGGGATAACAACATGCCTAATAAAAATACTCACTTTCCTAGATTCCTTTGCAATGGAGATGGGCCAAGGGACCCGATTCTCGTCAGTGAAATACAAATAGGAGTCTGGGTTCCAGATGACATCGTGGAATCACTGGAAAAAATGAAAGGCTATATTTGCTTTAGCCACTGTTATCAGGTTTCCACAGCATGTAACCAAAGGTACATGCTAATTGGTTCAGAGAGGCATTATATCCTGTGTTTAAGAACATGGTCCTTCAAGTGAAATGGACACAGCGTGGGTCCCAGCTGTGCTAGCTATGTGAAACCTCGCTCCACCCTAGTTCCCTTTTCTGTAAAGTGGGAATGACAGTAGTAGCTAATGCTTGTCTCAACATATCACACCAGGGTAACCAACTTGTACCAGTTTGCTTGGGACTTTTCCAGTTTTTAGCACTGAAAGTCCCATATTCTCGGAAACCACTTGGTGCTGGGCAAACTGGGACAGTTGTTCAACCTATTTAAAACACACCCCAAACTACCCTACTTCCTTTACAGATGGAAGACTGGGCCCTGAAGACTAAAACTTGTATTTGATGCTGCCCCCTAGTTGTTGAGCATAATATAAGATCACTGCAAAGATCAGTTTTACATTACATAAGTAGTTTTCTTAGCAAAAAATAGCAAGCAAGCCACAGATGGTTAGAGGCAGAGTTAGAATATTCCCCTAAACATTTAGATTTAAATGTAGAACTGGGATGGACATATACAAACACAATGAGTGAGATGTGCAACATTTGGGGGATAGTCACGCTTGAAGCTCAGACTCGAGGGGGAGAGGGGGCACGGGCAATATATGTAACCTTAACATTCGTACCCCCATAATATGCTGAAATAAAAATTAAATAAATAAATGTAGAACTGTTGTAACCCCGCTATGTTTTACTATTCATTGGTATTTGCCAGCAAATAGCCAGGCATGCTGGTGCATGCCTGTAGTCCCAGCTACTGAGGAGGTTGAGGCAGAAGGATCACTTGAGCCCAGGAGTTTGAGGTTGCTGTGAGCTAGGCTGACACCATGGCACTCTAGCCCAGGCAACCAACTGAGACTCTGTCTCAAAAAAAAAAAAAAAAGAAACATTTGTGAAACTCATGTAGTTGGCAGTACATAGCACCTTTACTACTGACAGTTATCTAGAAATCAGGACTCAGGCTGCCCCTCTACTGAGGGGCTCTGCTGGCCCCTCAGGGAAACCTTCTCCTCATCAAGGTCAGTCTCAGCCAGCAGTCAGGCTCAGGGCTCAGGAAGGCCTGAGCAGCCAGCTGAGGAATTCAGCTGGTCTCTCTTAAGCAGAAGCAATTATCACTCATCTGAGGTGGCTCCTGGGCTGGCACTAAGCAGGGGCACAATCCAAATGTTCAGCTCAGTGGCCTTGGGCAATGGGAGTTCACTGGTGTCCAGGCCAGAGTTCTGTGCTGGCGACTATTAAAGCTAGAACTGCAATGTAAACCTCAGCTATTTTCTGCTTTCTATTTGTGGTTGTGTTTACGCACACCAGAGTACACCCACCCTAGTCAGGGCTGCTAAATCTGTTCAGAAGGCTTCCTGAAGATTCAGAGAAAGAGAAGCATGCATCCCTGCCTCTTCTGCATCAGTCTTTAAGAGTTATAGAAAGAGAAATCACCTAAATCTTCCAGAAAGTCTAATTCTGCTAGAGCTACAAAAGACCCTCAAATAGGCTTAACAGAAATATTAGATTAAGTTCTTCAATTCTATTCAAAGTGAAGTTGGAAAAAGACTACTCATATTAATAAATACCTGTGGCTACACTGAAAAAGGGTTAACTGCTCAGCTGGGCTAGAAAATCAACACAAGTGATCACTGGTTTCTATTTTATTCTATGTAAAATCTTGTAGTCCTGTTTCAGTACTTGGCTTTAAGTTTCCATTTCATGTATTTTTGATGAGATTTAAAAAATATGTCTAATCTATACCATAAAATATTATTCGGTGGCTACCGAAAAAGAGCCATCTATAACTATATATACCTATCTATCATCTTAATAATACAGAAATATCTTTAAGACATACTGTTAAGGGAAGTAGATCAATAAGAAGTATTTTTCAGGGAAGCAAGTCACAGAACAACATGTATAAAATGATCTTATTCCTATTAAAACTACATGTATTTCTGCATCTGCATGGAAACCTTTCCAGAAGAATATCTGTTAAACAGCTCACAGTGTTACCTTACCTCTGGTGGTGGGATTAGAGAACTTCACTTTTGAAGTTGCTTTTCAGTATTGATTATTTTCCAGTGTGCATGTATTAATAAAAATAAGGAAGCCAAATAAATACACGTAAACAGCCAGACCTGTCATGACTTAAGCCATTAGACTACTGCTCAGAAACCAAGGACTACATTCATTAATCTCAGCTGAGTGCTCAGTGTTTATTATGGGATAAAGTGTCTCAGAACTCGATTTTTAAAACGATAATTTAATGCTGTGCATACCCAACGCCTTAGGAGGCAAAACCTATATTTACACTTTTTTGGTGGTGGCTCTTAGCCAAAATATTTACTTTTACCAAAAGATGTTATAAATTGATTTTAAAAACATCTTCTGAGTCACTTTTATTTTTAAATCTTCAAGCTGTGTTTAGCAGTTCTAATCCAGATATATTCAGAGTGGGAGGGAAAAAAAACTGATTAGGCTTTAAATACTTGAGAAATAACACAAACTTCAGCAATAAATGAAGCAGTTAAAATAAATCTTTAAAATACTGGTTCTCCCTTGGAAAGAGTGACTTACAGGTACAAACCATTAGTTGTAAGTACATGTATTCTTCAAAAATTTATTTATAGAAACAGACATATTCAAATGTAACACCAGACAAAATCAAAGAGAAAAAGTTGGAATTCAAATGACACCAGGGAATCTCACTTGCACTTTACATTTCTTTGAATAGAATTAGCACCATTAGTTCAGAAATCACAGATTTAATTATAATTGTTTCTAATATATAAAACACCCTATAAAGATATTTTAACTATCTAGTAACAAAGTTCTTCCAAAAACATATTTAAAAATCAATCAGAATTTACCATTTGAAACTGACGAAAATGGTCTAAAAATTGATCCAATTTTACGGCTTGTCAAAGGGAATGAGCCATAATTAGTTTTATTGGAAGAAAGTGCCTGAATTCATTTTCTGGCCTCCTTCTAACTACCAAGCAGGTACAGTAAATTGAATATTACTATAGGAATAAGAACACATCTAAAACTGGTCTTAGAAAATATTTTCCTAGACTATAAAAATACTAAATGGAATACAAAAATTTCAGCATATACAGCAAATAGACTACAGCAGACAAATTTTAAAACATACTTAAAACTATCTTTTACCACAATCATCATGAACATCAAGTATTCTTCTAATAATTTTCCTATGATTCATTGTGATTCAATGTTTATTTCCCCTCACAAGTTTTGTAATAGTGTCAGAACAGACCAAATTCTGTGTTTCTAGCAGAAGTTACTGGAGAAACCATTAAATAATTCTTTGTATTCAACTGGTTCTCAAAGTGCTGGAAGTGCAGTTGTAGTGGAGCCTATTTTTTAGATCAGGGGACAGCAAACTACAGCCTGGGGGCCAAATCTGGCCCCCACTTGTTTTGTTTGGCCTGTGAACATAGCCACACCTGTTCATTTATGCATTGTCTGCGATTGCTTTCATGTTGTAAGAGCAAAGTTGAGTAGTTGTGACAGACTATGTGACAAATGTGGCCTTTTGGTCCACACAGTTCAGATAATTACTATCTGGCCTTTTATAGAAAAAGTTTGTCAACCTCTGTTTTAGATAAATCACTTTAAGAAATTTTTAACTGAATAAGGACAAGGTAAAATTGTCCAAGATTAAGAACATCTTGGCTGAGGTTTGCTGGTTCCATTATACAGTACCATGGCAGGTCAAAAGAATACAAAGTTGGATTGGCAACTTTGGGTACTGAAGTATTATTATTCTGGCATTGTACGCAAAGTCTGGCTATGATAAAGTACCTTCTTTTCTCTGAACTGGCCATTTTGTACCAAGCAAATCACATACCAGATTATAGCAACATTCTTACTGTTCAGCCCAAACCACCCATGTGGCTCCCAACACAATTTTTAGCCTCTAAAAATAAAAAATTTAGCAATGGATAGAACTAGAAGTGGATCTTTCCTAGCCCTCTGTATTGGCATAGATTCTACAGTGCTGTACCACATACCCTTTTAGAATCCTTCCCTGTGACATGCATCATAATAATTTGTACTACTGCTGCCCAGGGCCAAAAACATGTCCCTTTTGACAAAGCGGACTAAGTTTTCAAGGGGGCACATGGGCTTGGGAGAATGCTTGTGGTGGTCCTGGCAGAAAGAGGTGTGGAATGTGACGTCAACACCATTGTAAAGAATCCGCACAGAATGTTCGCTGGGCTTTTCTCTGTCTTGCCAAAGCTCAAAGATCAGCCTGGCCGCAAACCTTGGGAACCTGGCTTCTGAAAGGCCCAAGGCACTGAGAACTGGTGACAGAGTGACATCGTGAGCAGAGTAGAGGGCAAAGATCTCTTCTTTCCTGCCCTCGGCAGCTCGCTGCAACCGGTTGACGGTTTGATTCAGGATGGGGTGGGCACCTAGGAGTGAATACCCGAGGTACAGTTTCTTTTCCCGCCTCTCTCTTTCATCCTCAATCTGATGCGTCTTGATCACCTTGAAGTGCTCCATGCCGATACAGCCGTTTCTGGTGCAGGGGAAGCTGACGTTGTGGCAGAAGTGGCAGAGCATGGAGTCCACGGGGTTGGCAGCTCGGAGCTGCTTGGTGGGGACGTCCACGATCTTGGCCATCTCCCCGTAGGTCCTCTCCAGCTGGCTGTTTTTCAAACGTAAGAGGTACTGACGACGCTGCTCCTTTTCCAGATACTGATTTCTCACTGGGCAGTAGCAGTTTCCAGAACAGAACAGAGCACTTGGCTGGTGCCTGAAATAAATCTTCTTCCAGTCAAACTCTGGGAGGAAGCCATAGAGCAAGGCCAGCCCACTTTGCAGGGTTCGGCTTTTCCCAGTGGTTTCTAAATAAAGCTGGTCTGTGGACCAGTCACTGGGCAGGAGTTTGTGCTTCTTTAGATAGATGTCCCTCAGCAGCTGGCCGTTCTGCAAATGCTGCACGACTCCTGAAACACAGGGGACACAATGCTTTCCTTACTACCAGCTTAGCAAAGGGGACGGCAAGGGGAAGTCGAGTTAGCGTCCAACTCCGGCACGTTTTAGAGCAGTGTAACACAATATAATCAAACCCTTTCCCCACCAAATAGAAGTTACAAGAATGGGTTCACATCAACTTGCAAAGGGAGCCTCTCGGGGGTATTCATGCAGGGATGAACAGAGTGGGGCCCTGTCCTCTGGAAGCACAAGGACCATGTGCCTTGCCCCCTCTCTCGACCAGCCCCTTCCCTGGGGAGAGCACTGTGGCTGGTAGGCCTCGGGGCGTGGGAATCACCCTGTCGGGGGAGGTCTAGCCTGTAAGTGGCACAGGCCTAAGGAGAGCTTTCTCCCTCCTGCCCAGGGACACAGCATTCCCCAGGGTGCAGGGATTGCTCAGTGAGATCAGTCAGGGAAGGGCAGACTGAGCTTGCCTGCTTGCTGCTTATTCTCCTCACTGCTGGAAAGTTCCCTCTTTGACCCCATCTTCCCCAGTCTGCCCAACCCAACGCTCTCTGCCCATCTCCTGGGTACGTTCCGCCTCATCCTGCTGGGCCTTCTGGCTCAGCGGCAAGGATGCACTCTCCTTATGATTTGGAATAGTCTCCCAGATAGCCAGACAGAATACTTGAGAAAAGCAAAGTGTAGAATAGTATGTGTATTATGCTTCTTCTAAATAAAAAAGAGGGAAAAATAAAAATGTGTATTTACAGTTGCTTGTACTTTACATAAAGAAACTTTGGAACAATGCACAAGAAACTAATATCAACAGTAATCTGGGGACAACAGGGGCACTGAACTTAGGTGGAAGGAATGTGGGTAGAAGAATTTTAAGTTTACTTTTTAGTATTGTTTTAGTTTTGAACTATGATAGTACAATAATAAATTAACTTTTTAAACAATGAAAAAGCCTTATCTTTCAGCAGGAAAACACAATCCAAGACAAAAGCAAGCTCACCCTACAGCCTGCAGGATGTAAGGAAATGCAGTCTCAGTAATGAGTATGAATTCTTTGCGGGTACAACTACACACAGACCGTGTGACCAGTAATGCCATTTATTCAGATGTACAAATGGTGTGAAAAGTTCCACTGCAAAGATGAGACAACTTAGGCTGAAAAGTATGAGACAGAGGGAAATGTGTTGGCCCAGAAAGGGGACAGCTCAGCAAAACACCCAAAGAATGTCTGGGTCCTGCTGTGAATGAAGAGTTTTGTTTTGTTGTTGTTCTTGGTTTTCGGTTTTGGAGACGAGTTCTTGCTGTGTTGCCCAGGCTGGTCTCCAACTCCTGGCCTCAAATGATCCTCCCACCTCAGCCTCCTGACTAGCTGGGATTAGAGGCATGTGCCACCATGCCTAGCTCAGGAAATTCAAGAGCAGAATTCCCTGGGAATTCTGGAGGGACTGGGACAGGTTTTACATTTCCAAAAAAAAAAAAGGCAAATCCTGAGTGATGAACGTTAGGATTCTGTGTCTGGCCGGGGTTCCCCTGTGAGCCTATTTTATTTTCTTAGGTTACACACATTAAAGTTGGAGTGCTTACTGTGCAGCACTGGCCTTTCTCATTTAATCCTCACAAAAAAAAAACCATGAAAAGGTATGTTACTATTATCACCCTCATTTTCCTTATTTGACAGATGAGGAAACCAAGGCCCTGAGCCATTCACAGTTAAGAAATAGCAGAGCTCAAGGCCCTGCCTGGCTCCAATTTTGTGCTCTTAGTCCTTTTTCACAGCACTGTCCCTTACATTTTCATGCAGAAATTAAGTTCTAGCCATTTAGTGCTTCTTATACTTGCCGAACACAGCCTGCATTTTCATGACTCTGTTCCTGCTGTTCCCCTTTCTCTGCCTAGAGAAATCCTCACCTGACGCCTGGCTCCAACTCTATCTGCTTTGTAGAGCTTTCCTTCTTCCTCTCCAAGGTCAAATTAATAATTCTTCCTGTTCCTGTGTGTCACTGGACCTCTATGACAACATGAGCTGCATTCATTGAGAGCCCATCATAGGCTGGCACTGTGCTAGGCACTCTATACATGCTACCTAATCTAATTCACCACCAGCCGTGCCGGGAAGATATTATTCGCACTGTTTTCCAAGTCTGTCTGACTCCAGAGCCCGTTTACTCTCTAAGACCCTGCGGCTTCCAGCATTATAGTTATTTGGCTCCATGTGCATTGCCTGCTGCAACTGGCTCTTTTAGGCCAGGCTAGAGGGTCTTATTCATCTGGCCACCCTCCCACACTCAGCAGCTGCCAGAGCATCTTGAACAGAGCAGGCACTAATGAGCAATCTTATCTTTCATCGTTACTGTGGGGTGCCTTAAGTGTGCCAATTACAAATGATTATTATAACAGCTATGCATTTTTCATGACATTTAAAATAGAAGATAAAAGTGACCATTAAGAAAATGAGGGAACAGGAACAAACAGTACTGCAAAAATGATTTCTAGAGCAATACTAATTTAGAAAACAATAGCGATAATAGATCAGTTGGGAAGAAAGGTCTGAATGAAGGATTATCTCTGGGTGTGTGAGGGCCGCCCCCACCAAGCCTCATCAGGGTATAACCCTGGATCCAGAGACTGCTTCCCCCAACGCTGCTCTCTGCACAGTCATCCTGAGCCTTAGCCAGAGCTGACAGACACTGACCCCCTGGGGACCTTGAAAGATTCTCTCTCTCAAGAATCTGGACTTGTGGGTCGGACAAGGTGGCTCACACCTGTAATCCTAGCACTCTGGGAGGCCAAGGCAGGAGGATCGCTTGAGGTCAGTAGTTCGAGACCAGCCTGAACAAGAGTGATACTCCATCTCTACTAAAAATACAAAAATTAGCTGGGCATGGTGGCTCGTGCCTGTAATCCTAGCTACTCGGGAAGCTGAGGCAGGAGAATCACTTAAGCCCAGGAGTTAGAGGTTGCTGTGAGCTAGGCTGATGCCATGGCACTGTAGCCCAGGTGACAGAGCTGTCTAAAAATACAGAGCTGTTTTTTTTCTGTCTAAAAAAAAGAATCTGGACTTGGAAGTTCATCTCTGGGTGTGGCTAAGACTGGCACTACTCTGTTGACAGATACAACAAAAATAAAACCACCTAGAGAGGTGGGGCCAAGATAGCTTTTTTATTTCCAGTTCCAGTCTCTGGAGGCCTGGTCACACTCTTGATCTTGGGAGTCTGTGAGTCACCCCTGAATCTTTATAATAAATTTCACTTTTTTGTTTGAGTTGGTTTCTGTTATTTACAACCAGAGAGTCTAAGCTGCGGTTCTCACCAAGAGTCATATTGCCTCAGGGAGGGTCTGCAAGTGGAATGATCACAATAATATGGAGAAGGATATTCCTGGCACCTAATGGGTGGGGGCCAGGGTAGTACACAGTCTCCACAAGGGACAACTGTTCTCTGCCCCACATGACTTGAATGTACCACAAGACATTCCCACATGTGAGAAACCTGCGTGACTACTTTAGCCTATAGAATCTAACTCTGGTTTGTTGTGTGTATAAACACAAAACCATTTTTGCATAACATTAACATCCATCAAATTTTCTAGAAATCCAATATAAATTAAGAGATGTCTGTATGTTGCTTTGATCAGAACTTGTTGGAAAAACCACATCCTGACGTGTTAGAGTCACCAGTACAACATCCCTCAGTCATCTGTGTTTGTAGCTGTCAGAGTCACCAATGCACATTGGTACAAGCATTTGATTACTTGATTCAATTTTCTAGTGTAGCTATTCTCAAACATTTATATTAAGTTATATAGAATTAATAATAAATTAGTTTCCTTTTACTTGTTACAGTTCAGGTACCTGATATAACATTTTAAAAATTAAGTATAGAGAAAGGGTATATTTAAATTTCATTTCAGGATAGTTGGGAGAGATTGCAAAATATGTGTTAATTGTCTTTCCTAATTTTTCTTCATGAACATGTACTGGTTTTAAAGAAGAAAAAAGGTTATATTTAACTTTCAGAAATTAGCTGTTTAATCAGATGCTTCCTGACTCTGAGTTCCTTGGTGGGGGGGCAGTCCTTACTTACCCCCCCAAGCCCCACAGCACCACCTAGAGGTGTTTGCCGCAAATGCGTGTGCATGGAAGAGCAGGTGGGAGAATACTGAGCGAGTGGCTATCACACGTACCTGTCTGCGTGAGCTCCCCCATCTCGCACAGCGGGTGATTCGGGTAAAGAGGCAGGGAGTTTAAGGGGCTTTCAAAAGAGGCTCCGGATCCTTTTGACATGTGACTAACGAAAGCTTCCAATTTAGGGTGATATGGTTTCCTAAAGAGACAATGCAGAGAATTAGTGGTCCGAAGACTTTTCAGCCTCAGCAAACAATATCCCAAATGTGTCAAGGCCTTTCCTACCCACAATAATAGGTACTGGCTCAATCACTTCTAAATTCAAATTTCATCATTACTTGACCACTGACACCTACACATAAAATCCCCTCGCTATAAGGTCAGCCTGAGTCCCTACCTCGGCTGAACTTGATAGTGAGGGATTCAGCTTTGTCCTCTACCATCCTTTTCCCCAACCTATGCTGCCCTCCTGGGCTCCCTCTCTGGGAGGCCACCAACACCCACACAGCAATCGTGACCTAGGCTGGGAGTTGTCCCAATTCTTCCCTTCCCCTGAACATGTCACCTACACCCAATCTTGCAGATTCTCCCTCCTGGTGTGTGTCCATCCCTTTCTCCTTCATCCCCATGGCCACTCCCTGCATTCTGGCCACAGGCAGCTTTTGTCTGGACGGCAATGGGCTCTTCTTCGGCCTTCCTGCCCTTTAATCATGTCCCACTAATGTTGCCTTCTCCACAGCCACAGGATCAACTTAAAAGGCAACTCGGACTCTACCCTTCCCCATACTGTCCTTTCCATGGCCACCTTCCAGAAGGTGCACAGCCTGTGGCCTGACCTGGCCTCCCTCGGCACTCACCTGGCCCTCTCCACCCTAACGCTGTTCCCTGGCCACTCGGACACACACAGAAACACACCTAGTTCTTTCACACTTCCACCACTTTCTACATGCTACTCCTCCCTCCTAGAAAATCTCGAGCATCCTTCACCTAGGTAACCTTTAATCCTCCATTTTTCCGACCTCTGGTAAATCTCCTTTTAGGAAAATTGTTAACTGAGCAAAATAACCAAGATCTCTGATAGCTCTTTACAGTTCACTGTGCAGTCTTAACATGCAAGGGCTCATTTAATAGGGAGTGGTGATGAATATCAAAAAAACAGTTTATAAGAGATCTGAGATTATCTATATGCCTGCCACAAAGTATATGTGGTCTTTCTTGTCACTAATATATAATTTTCCTGAATAATGAAATGACCTATGAATACATACACCTTTTCCTCAAACAATGAGATGGCCTACAAATGTATATACATTTTCCAGCTGAACAGGAGTGGCCAGATAGCGTAGTTCACAACTAAACTGCATAAGAATCAGCATGGAGAGAGGCAAAGATAAACTGTTCCAATGGCAAACCCCCGCTGTCTGAGAGCCCAATTAACTTTGGCAATGCTTTAAAAATGGCTGCCAAAATGGGTTTATTATCTTTCAAAAACATAAAGCTAAAAAAAGAAAATCCATCTTTTAAAAAATATGTTTTAAAATTAGAGAATGCTAATCCTTACATGTGGTATAGTCTAATAAATCACCCTGGATGGCTACAGGGAATTATGTCTTTCCATAAAAGCAGGGGGTATGTGTGTTGCCTGAGGCTAAAGCACATAAATGTTTGCAAATTGGGAAATAAAATGTCCAGACTGATAATGAGGCTGCTGATAGAAACCCACATAAACAGAGGCCATCCAGCAACAGGAGCCAAACGTTCTGCTCCCGGCCATTATTTCAGGTTGGTGAGTTTTGAGGATTTGAGAAAGCTTTGCTGCCAATTTTAGAAATGAAAATTTCACTACTGAAAGTGTTTGCTGAGATGTCCCAGGTTTTCAGGGCATCTGACTGCTTAATGATGCTTTGATATCTAACTGCATTCATTACCTTTTTTTTTTTTTTGGTATAGAAAGTTGAACAGAATAGATAATAAATGGCTGTACCTTTTTAACATGAATAGGACCAGGTGACCTGAGTCCTTAGACCTGTCCTGGATGTGACTACCCAAGCCCTGCCTGCCTGGCCCACTGCTCCATCCCTAGTGCCCACTGCTCCATCCCTAGTGCCCACTGCTCCATCCCTAGTGCCCAGTGGGTACAGAGCACACAGCAGATGCTCCAAAAATAAGCATGATTGAATTCAATTCTGAAGTGTCCCATCCTTGGATGTTTCATGAAAACACCAAGCCTTTCATAATCTGCAGCAATGAATATGGCAAGTTCCCATAGTGTTTATTAAAATATTCAGATTTTGATGAAAATACATTTGGCTTTCCATATCTTTGGGTTCTGAATCCAAAGATTCAACCAACTGTGGATCAAAAAAATATTCAGAAAAAGACCCAATAAAATATTGCAATACAATGATATTAATAAAACATAATACAAATAGACAATATAGTATAACAATAATTTACATAGCATTTACATTGTATTAGGTGTTATAATATAGAGATGACTTAAGGGATAAGGAGATTGTATGTAGGTTACATGCAAATGCGACACACCATTTTACATAAGGGACTTGAGCACTTGCAGAGTTTGGAATCCCAGGGGGATTCTGGAAACAATTTCCTGTGATACTGAAGAATGACTGTATTGAAAATAAAGGCTGCTGTGGGTGAGACTACTAGTTGTACACTAAAACCTATTCTCTTGAGAACTTGATTAGATCCCATTTCTGAGGTCCTAGAGGTTATAGGGAGAGCCGCATGACTAAGTATCCACCAATGGAATGAAGGGATGTACACCACTTCTGGGGGTAGTCCTTGGGATCATGGGTGTGCCCCCATCACGTTCTCTTCCTTCCCCCTGGCAACTGTTTAGGCACGGCAGCAACCCAGGCTCAGCCAGGTAGACATCCCCCGAGGATGGTGGGAGCAACAACCTGCAAGGAACCTGGGCCTGGAATGACCAGGCAGAACCAACTCAAATGAACACTAGAACACTCAGCTCAGACCTTCACACAAGGAAGAGCTGAACTTCTCTGTTACTTAATGTATTCTTAAGGCACCTGGTTACAACAGCCTAGCCTTACCCTGACTAATATAGAAATAATTATATCTATGAGAATGAATTTTATTTTATTTATTGTGGCCTCGCTGGAATCTGCTATCATACTGAAGACTGAAAGAATCGAAAGTGTTACTATCTTAAGCCTTCAAGTCATTCACTTCAGAATCCTGTTTACACTTTTACATGCATTATTCACACCTATTTATGCCACAAAGCTAGAGACAGAACCACGAGGCTAATCCACACACCCATGAGGAAGTCTATTGTGCTTCAGTCATAACCAGAGCGACCCTGTGCCGACGTGAAGGCAAGCAGAGAGGGGCAGAGACCAGGAACACTGTTAGCAGAACACACAACTCAAACACGTGTACATGGCTGGAAACTGGGATCAATTCACACTAGATTTTCAAATGTTATGCCCATTAAGGAAGTTACCATTTTATATTGCTAATAAAATAAAATTATAAAAAGATAAGCCCAGTGTACTTTTCTCAGTGTTTAGCTTTCTGGATCTTTTTGCTCTGCTAGGTGTGAATAATTGGCCTGCTTGCCTCAGCGATTATAACACCACTCTCCTGACTTCTTCCCTGTTTGCAACTTCAATGTACCCTCCTGGGATCCTCTTCTCTGCACCTATAACATGTTGGTGTTTCCCAAGACTGTTTGGCCCGTTCCTCGCTCCTCGGGTTCTGTCTGTGACACCACTGGAGCCTGCAGCTTGGAATGCCATCAACATGCTGAAGACTCTCAGATAAACCTCTGCCCCCCAGCCAGACAATGCTCTGGAGCCCCAAAACTGCATACTTACTGCCAACTGGAAAGTGTCACCTGAACATTTCATGATAGCTCAAACTAAGCACTGAAGCCTGTACTCATGACTTCCCTCTCATACTCCCTGCTTCTGTGCCCTGTATTCCATGGAGGGGCACCACCACCAGCCCCTGACACCCAATCAGAAACCTGGGCACTGTCCTCCCACCTCATAACCCTGTCCAACCTGTCACCAAGTCCTATTGATCCCACCTTGTAACCTTCTCTTAAAAATCTATCCCCTCTCTCCATCTCTGCTGCTACTCCCTAAGTTCCAACTTCCATCATTTATTCATTCAACAAACATTTATCATGCTCCCTCTATATGCCACGCACTGGCTGAGGTACTTGGGAGGCAGCAGCAGTAAACAAAAAGAAATAAAAACCTGTGAAATAAAAACCCCTGCTGTCAGGGAGCTTGTGTTCTAGCCTGGGGAAGCAGACAATACCCAGTGAATACCATAAATGTGTGTGTGTGTGTGTGTGTGTGTGTGTGTGTGTGTGTGTGTGTGTTAGCAGTAATAGCCTGTGGCAAAAAGCAGAGTGGGATAAGGGGACATGGGAGACCAGGGCGGAGGGACTGTGCCTTGTCATTTTAACGGGACTGTTCTGAGTAAATCTTATTGAGACGGTGACATTTGAGCAAAGACATGAAGAAGGTGAGAGAACTGGCCATGAAACTATCTGTGGGAAGAGCCTACCAGAGAGAAAACAGTCCGTGCAAAGGCCCTGAGGCAGCAGTGCCCGAGTGTGTGAAGAAAAGACAGCAGTGTGGCAGAAGCAGAGTGAGTGAGGGCAAGGAAAGCAGAGGAGGTCAGGCAGGTCAGGGTGAAGGAAGGGCACACAGGCCATGATTCCAAGCGAAGTCTCTCCTCTGGATCACTACCCCCCTAATAGCAAACACTGCCACCAGCTTCCACTCCATCCTCCACACTGTGGCTGGCGGATCTTCCTCCTTTCATCCCTTCACTCCCCAGCTCCCTGGCAGCCTGCAGCCCACACTCCCTCACTGGGTGTTCGCAGCCTCGGATGACCCAGTTCCTGCCCACCCCTCCTCTGCACGCTCCAGCCTGCGAAACCAACTTGGAGGGCCCCAGCATGAGCCGGCCACCCGCCCACACTGCACAGGTTGTTCTCAGGCCGGAGGGGCCCTTCAGCACCAGCTGCTGCCTGACTTGCTCTTGCACAGCCTGGGGCCCTTTCTCCGGGCAGCCTCCTCTGATCTGCCGCCCTCCCCCCTGCCCCAGGCTGGGTCAGGCCGCCCTCTCCCGGCTCATGCCCCACATGTGATGCCCAAACTACTTCCCTGCTACTTCTCGCTCTTCTTCCACTGCTTTCTCTTCTCTCTCTAATGCTGCTGCTGCTGCCACTGGGGCTGGCCTCCCTTCACTGAGGTCTGGCCCTGTCCCGGGCACCAGCTGTGTCTCCAAAGGTGAGCAGGCCCCATGAAGGCAAGCAGGGCCTCCCTTGTGTGACTCCTCACACCCTACCACCCGCCCCCGCCCCACCAGCCCAGCCACACGCTGCACTTATGGCTGCTCATCCGTGCCCAGCTCTTCCAGCCTCAGGCCCTGCACTTGCCGCTCCCTCCATCTGGAGCACTCTTTCCCGGATCTCCTCAGGGCTGGCTCCTTCACTTCATTGAGGGGCCTTCTCATGTGCCGCCTCCCGGTACATGAGCCAGGAACATGTGACAGTACCAGGCACATGATAGGAGCATAAGACTAAAATTTGTTGAATAAATGCTGATTGAAGTGAATATTTTTTCTTCCTTGGATGTAGAAAAGTACATTTCATTCATATTTATGAATGCAGAAGAACCATTTACTAAACATGGCGTGTCCATGGCCAATAACCTTAGTGCTGGCTAAATGGAGCACTGTGAGGGTTAAAGTGGCACCTTTCTCACAAAGCACATGGCAGTCACAAAGCAGCAGCATCTACTACACAAGCTTTGAGAGCCCTGGGATGTGTCACTGTGGATGGGAACTCTGAGGCAACTGACTTGTAAGGACAAGCAGAGCTGCTGCTTGGTTCAGGTCACTGCGCCCTGCCTGCTGCCCCAAATACTCCCTTTTCACTGGGTCACACAATCGCTAATTTATGGAGCCGAAATAGCACCTGGGAGGACAGCAGGCAGTGCCGGTGACCCTGACCCTGCAGCTCTGGAGGAGTCACCAGCCCCAAGAGGAGCGGGTCCACTTCACTGAGGTTCCGACTCACTCTCCCTCTAGGACGTGTTTATGATGACGAGTCAACTGTCATTGTTTTCAAAGATGGAATTGATTAACCAACATTAATTGGGCATGCACCGTCCACCCTGTTTCCACAAAGGATTTACGGTAGCTTCTAAAACTATGGAACGTCCAATAAACTAAAACCCGGCGAAGGAAACAAGGGCAGAGGCAGCAGGGCAGCTGGTCCCAGGAGCCGAGTTTCTCAGACAGGAGCTCCGGAAATGGCCCCAGCAGAGGGTCCTGCCATTGCTGTGATGGAATGAGGGCCCTGTAAGACCAGCTGCAAAGTGCCGCTTTTGAAGAATGGCCCTGTCGCAGCGAGACAATCCGCGGCGCTACCAGGCTGGCCCTGCGTGGCAGGCTGGCACCCCAGACGCATTCATCAGGATCGCGTCTTCCCCACGCAACGCTCCCCCTCTCCTGACCTCATTCGGTAAACCCTGCTAGGATGTTACGGGCCCCGAGATACACCAGCCGAGGCCTGGCCCATCATTTTGTTGCTAACTGTGCTTCTAATTTTAGGGCCGTGCCATTTCCATAGACATAATTTGCACTCTCTGTTTAATTATTTTTCACCCTAAGGGCTTTCAACTAAGAACAGGCTGTCTCCACTTCCGTGAAAAATTAAAAGGTTGAAATAACATCTGACGTGGCTTTGCAACTGCTAACGCGGATTGCCCTGTGTCATCTCACTTATCCCTCACCCCAACCCTGCGTGGTGAGCGTTGCCATCCCCACCTTAGAGATGGGAGGCTGAGGCTCGGGGACACCAAGGGACTTGCCTGCAGCCTTGAATGCAACAGCTGAGCTGGGGGAGGACTCCTAGCCCAGTGCTTACTGCAGACTGAGAATGGCAGGTTGGGCCTCCAGCTGACCTGGGCTCAAACCTCAGTGTCCCTGCTGGGTTGCTTGAAACAGATGTCCCTGCCTCTGCGGGCCTTAGTCTTTTCAGCTCCACAATCGCATCCACATGCAGGGCTGCTCTGAGGGTCAGGCTCTGGCAAGCGGTACGTGCTCTTCAAACTCAAGTCACTCCCCTGTCCTGTAACTCTCCACTGTACATGATTTAACAGATTCTTGAAAATGACTTTCAGAAAAAGTGCAATTTGCCAGGCACGGTGACCCATGCCTGTAATCGCAGCACTTTGGGAGGCTGAGGTGGAGGATCGCTTGAGCCTGTGAGTTCGAGACCAACCTGGGCAATGTAATATAGCAAGACTACATCTCTAATGACAAAATAAAAGTGCAATTTACCTGTTAGCCACCAGAGTGCAGTCAATTTCTGGTCGCTTTGTTTTAGGAATGACATACAGCGGGTACCTGTCCCCGTGGCGAATGAACACATTTACTGAGACTAGTTTAAAATGATGCGGGGCGTGACCTGTAAGAGACAAGCACATTGTTATCACTCAATAGGTGTCAATTCTTCTAGAAGGGGGTGGGGGAAGTGACCTGGCCATGCCTGTGCATCGGAGGCGGCAGTGAGGGCCACAGAGAGGTTGCAGAGCCCCCGTGGAGGCTGGGTGGGGGCCACCAAATAGCCTTACAAGGCAGGACAGGGGAGCGTGAGGGCTGGTCAACGTCCCAGCCCTCCCGGGATGACAGGATACTCTGGGGTGTGACCGGGGACTGCAAGGAAGTGAAAGGTGCTCACGACTGCTCACGTGGCCTCACGTACACACAGACTAGAAGGAGGTATGCGGATTACTGGGAACAACGACTTCTGCTTTAAGTCTGTCATGAAACAAGGCAGGGCACAAATAAACAAATATTCAACACCATCCTTTGAAATGCTTTCAGAAAAGCAAAACTTGACGTAGAAATCGTATTCTCCCACACACCTTTATGGCAGGACCTAAATCCTGAGAATCTACCCTGAAAAACAGAGTAGCTGAGGGGACTGTCCTAGAGCTCACCAAGGCCACCTTTTCATCTTGCCAATGTCACTGAAGATTGTGATAATGGGAAGCATTTGAGGCGGACGGATCACGAGCCCTGAGCTGTTCAGAGGGTCCTGCTGGGCACTGTGTTACAGATGAAGGCGCCAGGGCCCCAGAACTCATTCACCAGCACAGCCGAGGGGCGACCGCACGATTTGAGCCCTGGCTGTCTTGCCCTTGCCACCTTGCTATGCTGCTTGAAGAACTAGTCCCCAGAGGAGTGTCTGGCCAGGGGCTGCAAGGGCCCAGGGGGAGGCACGGCCAAGCCTACCTTCCATGCTGCGCTCGGCCACGCTTGGGATGTTGCAGTACAAAAGAGCTTCGTAAACGGGGTCTGTCACGGGGGGCTCTGTCACCGGGTCGGGCATGATTCTCTTTCGACTCTTGCTGCTCACTCCATCCTTGGCTGTCGACACGGGGATCAGGTGGACTGCGAGGGAAGCAAAGCAGGTCACGACGCACAGTCATGAGGCGCCGGGCAGCTGCAGGCCCAGCGTGGGGCTGGGCTTCACCCTGAGTATCTGTTCTTCCCCTCAGAACCAGGGTGCACTTCCGTGGAGCAAGACGCCCATTTCCTGCTCAAGAAGTGTGTCCTGAGCCCCCGCTGTGCCCTGCCTCTTTCTCAGAGCCCTTCCCGTGGCCTCACCAGGGTTTCCTAGGCAACACCAGTGGGACCTCCCAGAGAAAAAAAGGGGCCCCGCTCAGGGTGGATCAAAGAACTTACACACTAACAACTTCTGATGGCCTGATTACCCCGTCCTAACGCCCTTCTAATTCCAGTAACAACAAGAAGAAGGAAAACCATTATCACGTATTGAGGACCTGCCAAGTGCCAGGTGAGGGCGTCTGACATACCTCATTTAATTCCATCTGCTTTTTGCTTTGGTGCCCTCAGAGTCCTATCACGGGCAGCTGCTCATTAATCCTCACAAACCCACTTTGCAGAAGAGAGCCAAGGACCAAGGCACACCTGGTGGAGGGAGCCCGTCTCCCGCCCACTCCTCTGACCCCAGGCTGGCTTCCCCAACGCAGTCCTGGGCACCATGTGTGGGTCCTGCAATCTGTTATGTGTGTCCATCTAGCACCCTCTATCCCTTAGTGAACCAGCCCCTCCGCTCCATGTGTGGTCTGGCTGCACTGTCAGTCACAGTGTCCGTACCCCCAGCAGGGGTGGACCTGTGACCAGAGTCAATAAGGACAGTGATGGGGCGACCAGACTTCAGAGAGGTGGTATACAGACACGAGATGGGGCTCTCTCTTCCTCCTGGACGTTGATCTGTAGGAATGGGACCCTGGAGCTGCGCCAGTCATCTGTCCCTCCATGGACACCCTGTCTCAGTGGTCCCCAATCTTGCCATGCTTAGGGAATGTCTATGTAGCATCACAGATTTTCTAGAACTCCCTACACAATAGTTGTATTTTCTGCATCCACCCATTGAGGAAAATAACACAAAAGCAAGTTTGCCCATGGATCTATTTAACTTTAAAAGGTTCATTAATCCTCATAATATATATATACATACATATGAACAATAGCTAAAACAGGAACCAACCACCAATCTAAATCAATTTAAATTCCCTACTGGGGACATTCATTCTATTTTATAGAATGAGTTTTTTTTTTTTTTTTTTTTATTTCGGCATATTATGGGGGTACAGATTTTAAGGTTTCAATAAATGCCCATATCTCCCCCTCCCCCCACAAGTCTGAGTCTCCATCATGACCACCCCCCAGATGGTGCACATCTCACTCATTATGTATGTATATACCCGCCCCCCTCCCTAGAATGAGATGTTCTTATAAAATAAAAAAAATTTAAAAATTCCTTACTTTCTTTTACAACTTCTTCTACATAAATATTTAAAACTTCCCTTTGGCAAACAGATGCCATAAACACATATAAAAGACAACAATACACTGAAAGAGAAATATCTGCAACATAGGTAACAGACAAATGATTAACATCCATAGTACATAAGAGCCCCTACAACTGAAAAACTATTAAAGGATATAAACAGGCTATAGAAAAATAAATACCAATGCCAATAAACATATAAAAAGGTGCTCAATTTTATTCAGAATTAAAGAAATATAAAACAAAGCAACAATGGGATATCATTTCCCCCCCATAAGACTGGAAAAATGTTTTAATGATAATATCCAACATTGGCAAAGGTGTGAGAAACCTGACGCTTCCAAACACTGCAGGCGAGAGTGGAAATTGGGACAACCTTTCGGAAGGAGAGTTTGGCAGTAGCCACCCGAGTGTTCTCTGCGTGTTATCACTGATCCCATTATTCTACACCTCGGAATCTGCTCTACAGAGATATAAACGCCCATGCACAGATACGTGGCCACAGAGATTCCCTGCAGGCCTGTTTATCATAACAAAAAGGGAAATGGCCTACACATCCATCACTAGCAGAAAGAATGTTACATCCATACTGTAGAACTCTCCAGTTAAAAAGAAGGGAAAAGAATCAAAGGTAAATTATGTGACATGAATAAACCAAGTCACTCGATATTGGTGTATTAATAATTCTCTTTAAAGAAAAAACAAACTATAAATGTATGACTATACAGGCATTTGTTTATTATGTAGACGTACTCGAAAAATGTCTAGAAGGTTATCCATCACAACGCAGCAGTGGTTTCCTCTTGGGAATGGATGGAATGGAGTGTGAAGAAGTATTTTTTACTTTTTTTCACAAGTGTCTACATTATGTATCCACATACATACATATACACATACATATGTACAGTCACGTGTCACTTTACCACAGGAATACATCCTGAGAAATGTGTCATTAGGTAGTTTCGTCGTTGTTCCAACATCATAGAGTATACTGACACAAAACTAGATGGTGTAGCCTACTACACACCTAGGCTATGTGGCATAGCCAATTGCTCCTAGGCTGCAAACCTGTACAGCACGGTATTGTACTGAATTCTGTGGTCAACTGTGACACAGTAGGAAGCATTTGTAAATTTAAACATATCTAAACACAGAAAAGGCGTGGTAGAAAAACTGTATCATAATATGGGCCCACTGTCATTGATGGAAACATCGTTATGTGGCACATGACTGTGTGTATGTGTGTATATATATATATATGTATATATATATATAGTGAACATATGTTAATATATCCTATATATATAAATTTACATATATATCTATAATGTCCAGGTGCACTTTTTAAAATAATAAACATATCTGCATTCATTACTTATGTTACCAAAACAATGATCACAGAGCTATAGAATTGGAATTTGAGAATTTTGAGTTTTACCAACTCAAAATTAGCCCTTTGGTTGCTCCCAGAGTCACATTCTTCCTCAGCAGGTAGAAAGTGCTAGAAGAGTTAACATACAGCCCAGGTATCAGAGCAAGGGGATATGGAAAATCAGATGTCCTAAGGCAGTGCCTTATGACCTGGCCCTTCTGGCTGGTGACAGAGGGACCCTTGGTCCCTGATGCTGCTTTTTTATGAAATCTACCAAATCCTGGCCCCTTGGCCATGCCTGTGGGCACACTCCATTGGGGCCTGGGCAGGGAGAAGAGCAGCTCAGGAGCCAGGATAATATGGGGCAGAGGGGCACAGGTGGGGACCCTGGGTATCCCAGAGTTCCCACAGTTTGCTGGTTTATCTGTAAGCACATGGGGTGAGGCCTGTTGGGGCTGTCACTTGGGAACCATGGTGGTTGGGTGTACATGACCCACCCATGACCCAAGGAAGCAGTGGTTTGAAAACCACAGATAAAGACCAGATAATGATTGGAACAAGAACTTCTGTCCAGAAAGATTTTATCTGGACTTCTTCTGGCATCTGGGCAGTCAGCCTTGTCTACCTGTTCAGACTGTGAGATCGCCCTGTGCTATTATTGGTGTAAGTCACCAGGATGCACTGTCAGTCCAGGAGGGGCTCTTCAGGTGTTCTCCACACACCAGGCATTTAAAGGAGGTTCTGATGCCTACAAGCCATGGACAGAGAAGTCTCCCAGCTCCATCTGACCCCACACCCCAACTTGGTTCTCATTGTTCTGAACTGCTCAGAGCCGCCTCACCCCCACAAGATGTTTCTCACCCATTCTCTTCCATTTACTTGCAACTCTACCCTCAGTCCTGCTCTGCTCCCCAAATTTGGCCAATACCGTAAGTGATCCTGGGGGTCCTCCTGCAGGAAGCCCACCCTGAATCCGCAGGCAGTTTCCATGTCCTCTTCTATGAGCCCACCCCGTTCCTGCTGCTGTCACACCTCAAACCACAGTCTGTGTAAGCAGGGGTAACCTGGTTTGTCACCCCACCATCCCAAATGTGCAGAGGACTGGGACTCAGCCTCTTCCAGGTTTATGTCCCCCACTGACTTGCAGAGGACGGGCCATCCAGAAATGCTTGCTGAACTGAGCCAGGCACCGTGCTCCATGCTTCTGATGAAGCTCACTGAATCCTCACATGGAGCCCTGAGGGTTGCCTAACCCAAGACAGGCCTCCCAGGGAAGACCCCAAGTGAGCCCAGCCAGGCTGAGCCTGGAAGGATGAAATGAAGCCGGCTACATGGAGGGGAAGGGGAGAGGAGGGAGCCAAACACAGCAGACAAGAGTCAGAAGGCTGGCTCCAGGTGTGCCTTGGGTCCCCTGTGGGCTGAGGAGGAACCTGGGGAGCAGGCCCTGGGCTGGAGGCTGCCTCGGCCAGGCGCTGTGCAACTTGCCACATTAGCCCTCCGGGCTCACCTTGCTCACCCGGACAAAAGGGCTGAGGGACAGCTGGACTATAGGACCCTGCACCTCCCAACAGGCTCTGCCCAGGTCCCCAGCTCCTCCAGCTGCTGACCCCAAGCAGAAGACAGCAGCTCAGACATCACAGGACAAGAGAAAGGGACTGTGGGGGCATCAGAAGGAACAGTGAGCAGATAAAGAGATGGGAGGATAAGGGGTTTCACTATGTAGGTGGGAAAAACCCAGGCATCTAAACAAGCGCCCTGGGGCCACTATGCCACCATGACCAACATGATCACAGAATAAGACACAGCTATCATTGATGATTAGCTCTGTCCCGACAGGCATGCAATTTCTCCTGTGGTGGTGTGGTTACCAAGTAGGCAGGAACACTTCCATAAGCCACCTGTGACAAGTCTCTCGCTGACGGCTGCTTGTCCCACTCAGCTCACCTGTGATCACTCTAGTCTCGCCCACACATCTACGCTCCTCCGTATAAAGATCACGACATGGTCTCCGTTTCAAAGAAATGGCAGAGAACATGACCTCTGAGGCATCTCCTCGGCCCCCTCACTCTCAAGAGCAGCCAACCACAAACTTCTTCGAATCTCAAGTCAAACAGCCAGGTGCTGCTCCACCGCCCCGTCCACCGCCCCCACGGCGACTCCACGGGCACTACTGCACGTTTTGCAGCCCTGACTAGGACCTAA